CACAGTAATGTAGAATAGAATATGGATCATCCCACAGTAATGTAGAATAGAATATGGATCATCTCACAGTAATGTAGAATAGAAAATGGACCATCCCACATTAAAGTAGAATAGATTATGGATCATCTCAAAGTAATGTAGAATAGAGTATGGACCATCCCACAGTAATGTAGAATAGAAAATGGACCATCCTTCAGTAATGTAGAATAGAATATGGATCATCTCAAAGTAATGTAGAATAGAGTATGGACCATCCCACAGTAATGTAGAATAAAATATGGACCATCCCACAGTAATGTAGAATAGAATATGGGTCATCTCACAGTAATGTAGAATAGAATATCCCACAGTAATGTACAATAGAATATGGACCATCCCACGGTAATGTAGAATAGAGTATGGACCATCCCACAGTAATGTAGAATAGAATATGGACCATCACACAGTAATGTAAAAAAACAAACACACTAAGTCTTCAGTGAATACTATTCTACCAATCTACTTCCATAATACTATCCTTACCTTTTGTGTCACTTTACCCGACTCCCTCTAGCATTGAGCAGGGCCCTCAACCCCTCTGTTCCTGTGTGTCAAACTTGTTTGGTTACAATTACATGTTTGTTAGTCCACCCATTGTAAAGCGCTATGGAATTTGTTGGCGCTATATAAATATTTTAATAATAATAATAATGTAGAATAGTATATGGACCATCTCACCGTAATGTAACTTTGCAACTCACTTCACTGACAAGTTCTCTATAATCAGGGAAGACATCTCTCATTTTTCTTCTTCCTCTTACAATACTTCCCCTAACCTCACTCCCTCTGCTGTTCTATGTTCATTCGCACCTGCTATAGCGGAAGAGGTTTCTGCTGTGCTCCAGTCCTCCCGCCCCACCACCTGCTACCTAGATCCAATTCCCTCACATCTCATCCGTACTCTTCTGTCTTCTTCTCTTTCTCTGCCTCTCACTAAAAGTCCTAATCTCTCTCTCTCCTCAGGCATATTTCCTCACCCTTCAAACATGCAACTATAACCCCAATTATAAAGAAGCCTAACCTTGACCCTAACTCCCAGTCCAACTACTGTCCTTTTTCGCTACTGCCTTTTGCATCCAAGATCCTTGAAAGAGTTGTGTATGCGAGATTGACAGACTTCCTTGAGTCCAACTCACTGCTAGACCAGCTTCAGTCTGGTTTCCGCGCTAAGCCCTCTGTAGAAAGGGTAATGACCAAAGTATCTAATGAGCTGCTCACTGCAAAATCTCATGGTCACTACTCTATCCTAATTCTCCTTGACCTTTCTGTGGCTTTTGACACTGTTGATCATCAACAGCTTCTTCTCATCCTCCACAATATCGGTCTACAAGATATTGCTCTCTCCTGGTGCTCCTCCTACCTCTGCCAGCGCTCTTTCAGTGTTTCTTTCTCTGCCTCTGCTTCTTCTCCCCAACTCCTCTCTGTTGGTGTCCCCCAAGGTCCAGTCACCAAAATCTGTTATCCATCTATACTGCCTCCCTTTGGCTTCCAATATCATTTCTATGAGGATGACACACAAATCTGTCTGTCCTCTCCTGATCTCTCCCCGTCCTTTTTGACTTGTGTCTCTGACTGCCTCTCTTCTATTTCTAACTAGATGGCTGCCCACTTCCTTAAGCTCAACTTGATCAAAAGTGAAATTCTGTTTTTTCCTCCCTCAATTGTTGCTACTCCTGTGTCTTCCTCCCTCCAAGTCAACGGTGCTAACATCAGCTCTACCACACAGGCTCGCTGCCTAGGTGTTCTCTTTGACTCCGACCTCTCCTTCACGCTTCATGTTCAGTCTATTGCCAAATCCTGCTGCTGTCATCTAAAAAATTGCATGCATCCGACCCTACTTAACGCCAGATGCGACTAAGGTGCTGGTCTATTCCACTGTCTTTTCTCGCTTTGACTACTGTAATCCGCTTCTCAGTGGTCTTACATGCTCCCAACTTGCACTGTTACAGTCCATAATGAATGCAGTGGCGAGGTTCATCTTCCTGTCCTCCTGCATTGCCGAGCCTCACCCTTCTGTCAGTCCCTACATTGACTTCCTGTAAGATATAGGGCTCAATTTAAAATTCTGGTTCTTGCTTTCAAATCTCTACATAATGCTATACCCACTTATCTTTCCTGGGTAATACACAAGTATGTCCCGTCTAGGCCCTTATGCTCTGCTGAAGACTTACGTCTATCTTCTGTCCGTACTCCCACCTCTGATGCTCGCCTTCAAGACTTCTCAAGGGCTGCACGGTTCCTGTGGAACTCACTTTCCTCCTCCGTTAGATCCTCACCCAGTCTCCACTCCTTCAAAAAATCATTAAAAACCCACTTCTTCATAAAAGCATATCAATTAAACTGTTAATAGCTCCTGACTGATTCCTCTCTTGCAACTATAATTAGTCTAATACTATCCTTACCTTTCTTCTCACTTTACCCAACTCCCTCTAGCATGTAAGCTCCTTGAGCAGGGCCCTCAATCCCTCTGTTCCTGTGTGTCCAACTTGTCTGGTTACAACTACATGTCTGTTCGTCCACCCAATGTAAAGTGCTACGGAATTTTCTGGCGCTATATAAATAATAACATAACATAATGCAGAATATAATATGGACATCCAACAGTAATGTGGAATATAATATGGACTACCCCACAGTAATGTATAATAGAATATGGATAATCTCACAGTAATGTAGAATATGAAACCCATTTTGTACTATTACACATGCACAAGAATACATGAGTGATGTGGCACGTTCCAAATAAAGCCTTCAGGACAGGGGCATGGTTAGGTGGCAAGAAGACCGAGGAGCTTCAGCCCAAGAGTAAATTTTACGGCCTCCCCTGCAAACATTAACTTAACCCCTCCTAAAACTAGCGCTATACCGGGCCTTAGGCCCAACCCTAAACTTTAATGTGTACTTTAAATCACAGTGTGACACCAAATCATTGATATATTTCAGAGTACAATATGAAGCTACACTGATAAAATGCACACTTGCTTTATTAACCCTGTGTCATGTATTAACTCTTCACCCACTGCCTTTTATAGATGTGCTTGGGGTAAAATATAACTTTGTTTTCTTAATTTTTGAATTTTGCTTCTTCCCAAATTTGGAAAATTTAGATTCAGATGAAATTAATTTTGTCAGAAAATGCAGTTGATTTTTAAAATTTGGACGCATATTATTTATTTATGAATGGAAGTGGCAGTCACGAAGATACAAAATACCAATTAATGGAACTATCTGATAAACAGCTGAACTATTCTAATTTTTAAACCTCCTTTCGTTAAAGGTATTCTATAGTGTTAGTAATACAAATCTGGTCCCCTGAATTCAGATGAAATTTGAGTCAGAACGAAACCAACTGCATATATCTACTGACCTTAAACCCTGCATGCACAACAACCCTGTGCTGTATAATAAATTTCAAATATGGTGCAATAAAGTGTCACTGTCACAAATTATATCATTTGAGGGGTTATTTCAGGACCCTACTCCAACCCTTGTCAGCCCCTCACAAGCACCCCCAGCAACAGGAGATGAAAATACCCCTTACAACTACGCCTCACTTGCAAGTCACCATGTTGTGGACAATTGACCTTGGGAACTATTTACAAATCTAGTTCCACGTTAAACGGTAAGAGACGTGACAGTTCAGTTTTCTCAATAATTGACACCCCAGTGGGGGAGGGTTATATGAGATAAGTGGGTGTAACTAGGACTTTACAGGGGCTGATAGACACTTTTTGGGGGGCTATGGATAGATTTATAATAAAGATTAGGTACCTGCACCCAGATATTCTTTTAAAATAAATCTGCTGGTAAGACACAAATTATTATTAAAGAGGAATTAGAAGCAATAAATATAGGCTGCAATCTGAAAACAGGCCTGTTACTTTATTTATATATATATATATATATATATATGGAACTTAAAATATTAAACACATACAGAATATATAATATCTTATGAAATATACATACATTGTTTTTAAATTGTTTAACTCTGTTAAGTAAGTTACTGCATCTACATGAATTGTATAATTCTTTGATTCATTTTGTAATGTTTCTTCCTGTCTTCTCTTATAGATAATAGTGAATATTGTATATATACATGAGATTATTGTGGAAGCAGACAATGGCCTCTCATTGCCAAGGAAATTCTTCTCTCGATGTTAAACTCCACGTCTAGTTATTTACATTTATCATGGTCAAATATCTGCTTCTGGCTGTGGAGAAAGGAGATATGTTAAAAGCTCATTCTACAAACGTAGTATTGTCATAAATGTATATCTCTAACATCAAGTACTGCAGATCTGTATGGTATAATTGTGTCACAAACTAGCTGATAATTCTGCTAAATAACAGACAACGAGCATAGCATCCAAGTGTCCCGATTTAGGACGGACATTTTTAAAGGGAATGTCCCAACAGGCTTTTTAATGCAAACAGTGAATTGTCAGAGAAAAGGCTGTGTTTACATTACTGCCTAGTAACACCTCTAATGGCAGTCACTCAGACGGCCACTAGAGGTGCTTCCTGAGTCAGTGAGGCATGGAGACACTGAACACGCCCCAAAGAGATGCATTGATTCAATGTATCACTATGAGGAGATGCTTATTGGCACAGTGCTGCGTTTTGCTGCGCATACATAATAGCCTCACAATCAGGGACGTATTAGCCGCGAGGCTAACAAGGCATTTGCCTTGGGCGGCATTTTTCAGGGGGCGACAAAAAACGCCGCCCCCCAAATGCCCAGGGCAGATGCCTTGTTAGCCTTGCGGCTAACTGACATCCCGGGCGGCCGGCGAGGGAGCACTTCCCATGAGCTGACTGCTCAGCTCCCTCGCGCACCGCAAAGTGAGGCTGGGAGCCGGAAGATGACGTCATCTTCCGGTTCCCAGCCTCACTCTGCAGCCGACGCGCGAGGGAGCTGAGCAGTCAGCTCATGGGAAGTGCTCCCTCGCCGGCCGGCCGCCCGCCCGCCCTGCCAGCGCCGCCAGCCCTGCAGCCACTGGACCACCATTGAGAGATTCCCCAGCACTCCCAAAGGTAAGGAGGTTGGGGGGGGATTTAAAGGCAGCACAAAACCAGGATACACCACTGCTCACAATGCTTTATTGTGAGGAAACATTGGATTGGCTCTGATTGTTAAATTTGATGATCTCAGCCAGAAGGCGGGGTGAGGCCAGGCCACCTGCAACGAGAGGATACGGTGCTCAAAAAGGGGTAAGTAAAGGCAAGGGAGGCTGATCACCGAAAGGCTGATTTTACCACTATAGTGGTATACAATTTGTGTTCCTGACACTATAGTGTTCCTTTAATTTTTAACCCCTTAAGGACCAAACTTCGGGAATAAAAGGGAATCATGACATGTCACACATGTCATGTGTCCTTAAGGGGTTAAGAAAGTCTGAGCACTTACTAAATGAGGGTGATACTTGGGTTCAACCAAAGCAAATAACAAGAAATGGGTCCAGCACACCACTGGTGAATTCTGCTTGAATTGGTAGCAAAATGGCAAAGTTTAAGAAAACTTAGGGCACATCTCAGGCCTTCCAAGTGTTCTTATTTAGGACCAAGCACATAGAAGCAAGGCTTACTGTGTTTATGCAATATACAAATCAATTGACAGACAACATCTGTTTTTATAAATATTTCTGTCCCTTGGCTCGATCTATCATAATGTCACTCTTTTGAAGAGCTATTAATTTTGTTTGCGTGTGTAAAAGTTAAAAAAGTTTATGATAAAATCCCTCTTCGAAATGTTGGAGAGTATGAAACAACTTGCTCGTATGAGCTTACAATCTAGTTAGTAAGGCAAGACGTTTAGAAGGCTGATAAGGAATCAATGATTGTTAGTTAAAGGGACACTATAGTCACCTGAACAACTTTAGCTTAATGAAGCAGTTTTGGTGTATAGAACATGCCCCTGCAGCCTCACTGCTCAATCCTCTGCCATTTAGGAGTTAAATCCCTTTGTTTATGAACCCTAGTCACACCTCCCTGCATGTGACTTGAACAGCCTTCCATAAACACTTCCTGTAAAGAGAGCCCTATTTAGGCTTTCTTTATTGCAAGTTCTGTTTAATTAAGATTTTTTTTATCCCCTGCTATGTTAATAGCTTGCTAGACCCTGCAAGAGCCTCCTGTATGTGATTAAAGTTCAATTTAGAGATTGAGATACAATTATTTAAGGTAAATTACATCTGTTTGAAAGTGAAACCAGTTTTTTCTCATGCAGGCTCTGTCAATCATAGCCAGGGGAGGTGTGGCTAGGGCTGCATAAACAGAAACAAAGTGATTTAACTCCTAAATGACAGTGAATTGAGCAGTGACATTGCAGGGGAATGATCTATACACAAAAACTGCTTTATTTAGGTGACTATAGTGTTCCTTTAACCTCCCGAGTCGATGCACATTGGTTTTCAGGATGTGTATTTGGAAAAGAGGAAAAAGCCTGCAGGGTGTGTTAAGACAAACACTGATTAAAGTGTCACACCTTAAAAATAACACTTGGCCACATTGTACGACTATCAGAGCAGCAGCTCCCGGAATGTAACAGGAAAGAAAATGCAAGATTCCAGCTGTGAAATACAGAAACACTTTGTCTTAGCGTTCCTGGCCGAGATATAACCTTTGGTCATGTGATCATGACCCAGCAGGCTGCAGGCCGGAACGGAACGTGGCCTCACCACGTAGTAATATTGTAACATGGTAATCTAGGTTGAAAAAAGACCATCAAGGCCATTGAGTTCAGCCTTTCATTTCTAAGTATTTACATTATCTGATAGTTCCAGCTACTCACTGATACAGATCAATAACAATGTCTCTTGCAACAGTGAAACCCCTCCAACCTTGCAGACTTACACTTTTTAACCCTTTCATGTTTTATTTTGTTGAAAAATAATTAGAATAACATTTGAAATATGGGTTAAATAACGAGCACATGCAGAGAAAAAAACAGCAATTTCCTGTGTAGGTTTCACAACTAGAAATATCTACAGACCCTCTATTATACGGGGAGATCTGCATCTGGAGGTGAAGAGTTCATAAAGGGCTTCTACCAGAATCCTCGGGGCCCGCAACACACATTAGCAGACACAAATACCTGTACACAAAGATATACACAGCCACACACACATATACACACAGATACATAGAGCACAGATATACACAGCCACACACACATATACGCACTGCCACACATATACACACAGATACATAGAGCACAGATATACACAGCCACACACATATACACACAGATACATAGAGCATATACACAGCCACACACACATACCCACTGCCACACATATACACACAGATACATAGAGCACAGATATACACAGCCACATACACATATACACACAGATACATAGAGCACAGATATACACAGCCACACACACATATACACACAGATACATAGAGCACAGATATACACAGCCACACACTCATATACCCACTGCCACACATATACACACAGATACATAGAGCACATACACAGATATACACAGCCACACACACATATACCCACTGCCACACAGATACATAGAGCACAGATATACACAGCCACATACACATATACCCACTGCCACACATATACACACAGATACATAGAGCACAGATATACACAGCCACACACACATATACACACAGATACATAGAGCACAGATATACACAGCCACACACTCATATACCCACTTCCACACATATACACACAGATACATAGAGCACATACACAGATATACACAGCCACACACACATATACCCACTGCCACACATATATACACAGATACATAGAGCACAGATATACACAGCCACACACTCATATACGCACTGCCACACATATACACACAGATACATAGAGCACAGATATACACAGCCACACACACATACACACTGCCAATATAGGCCACACAGATACATAGAGCACATACACAGATATACACAGCCACACACACATATACCCACTGCCACACATATACACACAGATACATAGAGCACAGATATACACAGCCACACACACATATACCCACTGCCACACATATACACACAGATACATAGAGCACAGATATACACAGCCACACACACATATACCCACTGCCACACATATACACACAGATACATAGAGCACACATATACCCACTGCCACACATATACACACAGATACATAGAGCACAGATAAACACAGCCACACACACATATACCCACTGCCACACATATACACACAGATACATAGAGCACAGATATACACAGCAACACACACATATACCCACTGCCATACATGTACACACAGATACATAGAGCACATACACAGATATACACAGCCACACACACATATACCCACTGCCACACATGTACACACACAAATGCACAAGCATATATACACTGCCAAACACATGCATACTGACAAACACATATATATACATACACAAATACACACAGCAACATAGATATACTCACAATTATATACAAACTGACACACACATAGATACTTATATACACACATGTATATACAGCTACACATAAATATTACACACACATATGCATACACAGCTACACACAGATGTACATACACACAAAAACAACATAAGCACAATGCCACACACAGACATACTGCAGTAGACCTAAATAAAGCTCTGTTTAGCCACCGTCCTCTTTGCCCAGTATAGTGTTGGAGAAGGGTGGCTTCCATGTGATCTAGTGGGGCCGCAGGATCAGCTGAGCTTTCCTTTCTCACCCAGAGGAAGTGATCTGATATCACTTCCTGTCAGTGCTGCCATTCAGGAGAGCAATGGTGGGTTGTCAATACAGCTCTTGAAGTTCTACTCTACTGCAATGTGGGTTGTGGCCCGGCTAGTGGAGATACACGTATCTCCTCAACTGGACCTCAGAGCACATAATGAATTCCCAGAGTCTTCTCCTGATGGCAGCCCTGTGTTCATATACTGGTCAGACGTGTCTTACAAGCTTAAAATACACTTACAAGGTTATTCAGTATAGTGAGACTTGACAGAAAGTGAATATGAACATGTAGGAGAAAATACCATAATAAGAAAACCTCTGCAAGTCAGTTATGCTATCAGTTTGGCTATTTGGACTTTAAGGTGAAATTTACTTTGTACTCTGTGTGGTAGAATGGGTCACTCATATAGATAGGGTGGATCAAGGGGTGTAAAGTCATTCCCCAAGTCTAAAGTTCCAGGTGGGATCAGGAGGCCTCCAAACCTCTCTTATACTATGATTGTGATCTAGTAAAGGGCCAGCAGTTGCCCAGCTGCCCAACTGTTTTGTCCAAAATGAGTCTAAAGGTAGGTTTCTAGCCATGCATAGAGTAAATATGTATTGTACCCAAGATCGATCTATCTAGATTAGTTTTGTAATGAGCTCTGATATGCACCATAAGTCATGCATGGTTTAAATTGCTTTTTATCCTTGAGTTCAATCAGCATATTTCTCGACATTAACAATGGTCAAAGATCAACAACTATTTTTTACGGAAGAAAGTTTGGGCATCAGCAAGAGGTATCAGCTCACTTATTCTGCTTACCTAGAAAAGCGGGACTCAAAAAAACAGAAGGACAGCGGGATATAAAACTAACAGGGTTCTTCATCAAACTGGATTGCTACAAATGGAAACCTAACAGGGTTATTTACTAAAACGAGAATTCAGAGTTAATTTAAAGTTTAAGGCCAGGGCAGCCAAACTAGAATCATAGATGACTTAGATTGGATATTTCTGCTATTTTGACTTTCAATTTGGTAAATACCTGTGCTAATAACATAAGGCTAAAGTAGCCAAGCTGTGACAATAAGTTAGTTGGAGGATTTCTCTAAATTAGCTATGTTTGCCTAGATTCTGCAATTCAGATTTCAGTTATAATTCAGCTTTTAGAGAATAACTCTGTAAGAGGAGGTTGCTTCCCGAAATGAAGGTACCACCATCACTCTTGATTCCGGTAAACCAGACTTATCTATGCTGGTAATTCAATTATTGTATTTTAATCATCATTATCTCTCTTCATTCTTTACATCTCTAACAAAGTTATTCACTAAAATGTGAAGTGTCATGAATTCAAAGTGAATTTCATTTTGTTTGGATATAATTGCCCCATTTGTAACATTTTTTAAGTCATCCATCTATTTTTTTAAAATCTGTTTTGGGCCCAAAGTTTTTTTTAAAATTCCTGATGGTTCACTCTTTAGTAAAAAAAAACCCTCTGTTTAAAACCTGTTAATTAGTGGGTTTTACCTTTTAATTCATTACTGTTTGGTGGTGGCCACACTTGTCATCACAGGTCATCGGTGATGGCTCTGCAAAGACAAAGAAGATATTTTAGAGAGCTATGTTTTTCTCCTGCAGTGAAAGTGATCAGTTTAAATATTGATATTTGGGAGCGGAGAAGCCAGAACTCACCCCAGTTGTTTTTTCCTCCCACACCGAAATCTGCCACCTGTGGAAGATAGGTTGGAAATGAGCGAGCAAACAGAACGAGTAATTTATTATCCAAGCAGAAGAACCATTAGGGTCAGTTAGCTTGTTTTTTTTACTTAACTGCAAGAGATAATGTGAGATAGTGATTGTCTTGCAGATAACACATGGTAAACAGAGAGGTGTACAGATAATAAATGGATACATGAATCAATAGGCAAATAGCCATTAAATTGGAAGAGGCGATTGTCAGCAGATCTATCAACAGGTGCAACAGACAGAAATTATGTTATACCAATATAACTATAGAAGGTTTGGGATGTACTTGTGGAAAATATTTGATACTTACTGAATATGATCAGCATTCCAACAACAAATGCAACCGCAGCAAAAATGAGACCTCCTTTCCTTACAGTCTCGTAATCTGAAGGTAGGGAAAAAGAAAGGGTATGTACAATAGACAAAACACATAATAGAAAACAAGGAGAAACGGGACAAAGAAAATGGGATGATGTTTTAAGGATGGGAATATGTGAGATGATATTATAGGAAGAGATAATTGATCATTAGCACTGGGTTTCAGTAGGATATTTTGCCGGATCTGGGTTATAAATCAGAAAGTCAATATATTTGATCCCACTTCTGCCACCACAACATAACAGAAGTAAGAGTGGTAACAAGTACAGAAAAACCCTGGAAATATTTCTAAACTGGGAACAGCACAAGGGTACTCAAAGCTATATAATCACTATAGTGCACTCTAGGTGTTATGTTGCTTAAATAGTTCCTTTTAAAAGTATCCTTTTAACTTTTCAATCCATGAAGAGCAGGTGCACTGCTAGGTGGAAAGAACAGGTGCTTTAGCTTAATGTAAATGTTATGGCCTCTCTCATATACATTGACTTAAGCCCCTCCTAAAATCTCACCCTATACATCACCCTATGTCCAACCCTAAACCCTAACATCTTTTACAAATCCATTTATGACACCAAATCAGTGAATACATTTAGAGGGTTATATAAACTTATTTTTATAAGTGTCACACCTTCTAAATTAACCTGAATTCATCCTATATATCGTATACCCGCTGTACTAACCCCACCACACGCTGTATTAACCCTACACCATGCTGTATTAACCCTACACCTACTGTATTAACCTCATAATATACTGCATGAACCTCATACCTGCTGTATGAACCATGTACTTATTTCAATAAAGACTTGCATCCACAGCAATAGTCCCACACCGTACTATATAATTACCTCCACAAATGGTGTATTAAAGTGGCACTGTCACTAAATTTCCATTTAGAAATGTTATGGCTCTCACAATATCACAGGCGACTCTGGGCTAACAGTCAAAGGGGGCGAGTAAATCTGACACTGGGATTTTTCAAGCTCCATTCAGGGCTTTAACTCCGGTCGGCCCAACCTAGCTACGCCACTGATGTCCATCAAGAATAATTGTCATTACTTGTTCTCTTCTCAAGGTTTCATGATGTGAGTTTCAATAGCCAACACTTGGTATTACAAAATTGGTTTAAGACACAGTAAAACTTACCATAGTGGAAATTATCCTGCATACCATTTGACAAGTCTTGAGCTGGGAAGAAAATACGCATTTGATTTAATTAAATCAGGTAATTGTGTATCCCATAAACAGAAAAATGTCACTTTGTATTCAAATGGCGTTTACTGACAATCACGCGGCCATCTGTCACAGAGCATTGGTTACACTATTTTAACTCACAAACAGGAGAGAACACATTTTATTTGTACAGTACCAGTTTATTTGTTGAATGCATTTCTTTTCTTTTCTATTTTTTTTTTCTGTATCACCGGAATCATTGACCTTAACAGAATACAAATACCTTGATCAACACATTCTCTATCCGTAAATACACTGTGATTATTTTTCCCCATCAAAGGGTTTATTCACTAAACAGTGAATTTTAGTAAGGTGAAAAAAACCCAAATTGCAACATTTACACCAAAATAACCGATTCGGAAAATTTCTCTAACTTGGCTTTTTTGACTGGAATTTTGCAATTTGGCCTTCAATGTAATAAATTCCAACCATGTTCTAAATAGATATTCTTTATTTCCCTTTCGAGCCTCCATCACATGCTAGCATGGATTCCCGGTTCCTTCCATTTATCCACTAAAAAATAAATTTAAAAAATGTGACTTCTGGTCACGCACCATCGAAGCATAACTTTTAGTTCTAACCTTCTTCTTCTTTAATAAATAACCCCATCCGAATGAAGATTTAGCCAAAACTTGCCCTAATAGAAGACAGACCCTGCCACTGACTGTATTACATTGTGTTACAGGGTAACCAGGCAGAAAACTTGAGTTACAATTAACCATCTCAGTGCTAGTTTTCAAACTCTATGTCATAGCATGGTGACCAAGTAATACATGCTGTGCACTTTGTTGATAACTATTGTATAACTGATTTTATGAGCCTAATCCTATAGTACAGATGGCCCTCAAAGTGAAACTAAGCTCTAAATTAACACCTTTTTAGTAAATCTATGTTGTATGCAGATGTATACTTTCACTTTTAGAATAGCTGTTTAAAAACAATCCTGACATAATCTAACATTATTCAAGTCCTTTTAATCCTTCCTTGACAGATGTGAGACATTTATAATGGAAAATAATTATTCTTCCAAGTAAATGCACATTTATTTAGCCTTACCCTAGAGTCAAAATATTCTCTCAACGGTGACTGGTGATGCCCTGCGGTCCAGCTTGCAAAATTTAGGCAGAAGTCCCTCCGCTAAAAGTTCCCCAAGCTAAAGATTTTCTTTATTAATTCAATTTACTATTTTAGCATAACTTTTCTCTACTCCCCACAAATCACTGTTTAGTGAATCTAACCCAAAGATGATATGACGGCTGTAGGAAAGTATGTTTAAAATAACAGGGAAGGTTATATAAGGAAAGACTCAACTTACCACAACAGACCACAAAAACATTAACTAGGAAAACAACAATCACAGTGAGTCAGTAATAGGATCTAATCTACCAGAATATTTTCGGGGGAGGGATGGGGGATATAGTTAGGTTATTGTATGACCCAGGTAGTACAATCCGAGTTGTAAATTCAGTTGGTTATACAGCCATGCAGTAGAGAAATACAAACAATATAAGTAAAGACTGGGATTTAAAACACAGTTTAAACTTGTAATTATTTGTCACAATTATTTGTTGAGTTTATTCAGTGAACTCTACCCCACCTCCTACAGACTGTAAGCTCGTTTGAGCAGGGTCCTCTTCAACCCTTCGTTTCTGTACGTTTTCTTGTAATTGTCCTAATTATAGTTATATCCCCCCTCTCATAATATTGTGAAGCGCTACGGAATCTGTTGGCGCTATATAAATGGCAATAATAATAATAACTCTGAATTGTAGCGAAATTAAATCTGAATTTTAAGATTTAAACAATCAAGCTGTGTCTATATCTGAGCTGGAGAATTTTTCCTGTTAAGCTTCTTTTGTCTAGATTTTGCAATTCCAATTTCGATTCACTGCAATTGTGTGTTTAGTGAATCCATTGCAAGGAGTAGCTTCTATTCTTTCTTTGTCGCCTATTGCGAAATAAAGCATCATCTCATCTTACCGTCTGCCATGCTTTCAGTCTACACGCTCAACAGTTTCCTTCCTCCTCACTGCTGACAGTGTGCGATACACATGACGACTTGGACAGGACAAATATCCAAAGACTGCCTTCATTAAACATTAACTTCCCCTGGGGTAATATTTCTCCCGGTCACGAGTGATGCTCGATTCACATGGAGGGGTTTTGGGAGAGTCCTGGAAAAACACAAAATTCTTAGGAATGCAGCGTAAAAAAAAGCACAGTCTGCGAATGGCAGCTGTATGGTTATAGAGAGAAACATCACGGGAAGTGGTTACAGTGTATCTGTGAGTCTCAGAACCCATGTTTAAACACGGAATCTGTGAGTCTAGGAACCCATGTCTAAACACGGAATCTGTGAGTCTCAGAACCCATGTCTAAACACGGAACTATAGTGAATTGAAAACTCCAATAAAAAATTCAAGGGAAAAATATATATATTTTTAAGGGAAAATAAAATCTCCAACTCAGTCACCACAGTTTGCTGTTTAACCCCTTAAGGACACATGACATGTGTGACATGTCATGATTCCCTTTTATTCCAGAAGTTTGGTTCTTAAGGGGTTAATGAACCAATGTTTAGTAAAGTAGAGAATGAATAATATTGCAGCAATCTGGATGGGGGGAGATGGTTTCTTGTCCCGAAAAAAGAAAAATAAAGTGAGAAAGAAATCAGTGTGGATGTGCTGCAATTGAGATTTTGGAGGTGTATATTTGGAACATACTCCCAGAAATGGTGGTAATGGCTGAAGCAGTGAGGGGTTTCTGTATGTTTTCTCTGATAAGAGGCAAGTTTAACCCTTTAAGGACCAAACTTCTGGAATAAAAGGGAATCATGACATGTCGCACATGTCATGTGTCCTTAAGGGGTTAAACATGTTAAGTGGATAAAAACATTCCTAATGAATCCACGGGAACATTTGCTGTCCGTAGGATTAAGTCAGATAATTGTTAATTACAATGAATTGAAAATTGAATTTTCGAGCTTGTGGTCTTTGGACAGTGTAGAGGTTGGAGGGAGGATTTGACAGGGGTTGGAGCCCTGAGTACCACCATTAGTCTAGAGTCCTCTGTAAAACTGAAAGAGAAAAAACACCTGCAGTTATATAATTTGTGAGAGTGTCACTTTTATAATTCACGATATATAGAGTTAATTATACAGCATAGTAAGCTGTCTTGCTGTCGGTGACGGGTTAATACAGCATGGCTTTAGGTTTATACAGGTTTTTAAGTACAGGCTCATGTAATGCTCTTAATTCAAACAAAGATTTTCAGAGTTATTCACTAAAGCGAGAATTCGATGTGACTTAAATTTAAATAATGTTGTTGGTGTCACAAAGTGATTTATAGAACATATTAGGGTTTATGGTTGGACTTATGGCATTGCATAGGCTGTGTGAGGCTGGCCCCCCTGTAATTGGCACAAATAAAATATCCACTTTGTTTAGTTAGTGCTACGTTTGCACTGTGTTTTGCCATAAAAATTAAGATTTGTGCTGATTTTATTATTAAGATAATAGCAATTGTATGTTGAGTTATTGCTGAGTAAGTTAAGGTCACCAAAAGTCACCCAGGGCCCATATAACAGCCAAAATACATGAAACTGGGCTGGTTGGTCAGTGCTGTATTTGTGCTGGATTGTTCTGTTTAAATATCCATTCTATCTCATTTCATTTTAAATCATTCATTTTTTAATAAAGGTCACCAGGGGTCACCCAGCCCCCTTACAACAGCCAAAAGAAATAAAACCGGGTTGGTTGGTTAGTGCTGTGTTTGTGCCGGTTTGTGCTGTTAACATTTTTATTTGTGCTACTTTAGTTTTTGAGTTACCGTATGTGGTTTTTTTTGCAAAGGAAAATTATGTAATCTGCCATTCAATTCGACTCAGCTGCGTAATGTTGGTACTCCAAAATCTGAATAATCTTAGTTGAACTAGACCTCTGAGTCCCGGCCTTGTAAGTAATTGGCTCCTGTGGTTGCTACTTGGTTGGGCGGCCTGGCAGCACCACAGATTCACTGGGCAGGAGCGTATCTCTATTCCCTCTCCTGTGAGAAGGTTCTAGACTAGAGTGAGATGTAGAGCAGAGATGGAGGACGGGAGTGTCAGGTGGTATGTGGTTGGGTTGCTTTCACCTACAGGTGATGGCCTGCTGGATTGCCCATCCAAAATATCTTAGGGAGGAACAGGGGCTGAAGATCTTCCCGGCAGTCCATTATGCCTCTGCTTGGGTCTGAGGCATGTAGTCATGACCTCAGTGCCTCCACCATATTTATTAGGCACCCCTTGCTCACGGTGCCTAGAGAGATACTAGCTATGCCTCACTGACGATGCCTAACAAGGCTGAAACGATCGTCTGGGGTTGCTGTATCTCTCGTGCAGAGAGAACTTGCTGGCATTTCGGATCTGGACTGCCCGTATGGGTGGGACCAGTCTGATATGCTTCAGATATGTTCTCTCTGTAATGGCACAAGTTGGGCTAAAACCAGCTTGAGTTCTGAGCGGGGACCCACCGAAGGGCAGGCTATTTTAGCTGCTGTCCGTCCTCAGAATACTCTTGCGACCCATTTTTTGCTCACCATTAGTTTAAAGGGTAATCCAGACGTGGACCCCTTGCTCACGGTGCCTAGAGAGATATCAGCTATGCCTCACTGACGATGCCTAACAAGGCTGAAACGATCGTCTGGGGTTGCTGTATCTCTCGTGCAGAGAGAACTTGCTGGCATTTCGGATCTGGACTGCCTGTATGGGTGGGACCAGTCTGATATGTTTCAGATATGTTCTCTCTGTAATGGCACAAGATGAGCTAAAACCAGCTTGAGTTCTGAGCTGGGACCCACCGAAGGGCAGGCTATTTTAGCTGCTGTCCGTTCTCAGAATACTCTTGCGACCCATTTTTGCTCTCCATTAGTTTAAAGGGTAATCCAGACGTGGACCCCTTGCTCACGGTGCCTAGAGAGATATCAGCTATGCCTCACTGACGATGCCCAACAAGGCTGAAACGATCGTCTGGGGTTGCTGTATCTCTCGTGCAGAGAGAACTTGCTGGCATTTCGGATCTGGACTGCCCGTATGGGTGGGACCAGTCTGATATGCTTCAGATATGTTCTCTCTGTAATGGCACAAGTTGAGCTAAAACCAGCTTGAGTTCACCGAAGAACAGGGGCGTTTTAGCCGCGAGGCAAACAAGACATTTGCCTTGGGCGGCATTTTTCAGGGGGCGGCAAAAAAAGCCGCCCCCCAAATGCCCAAGGCAAATGTCATGTTAGCCTCGCGGCTAACAGACATGCTGGGCGCCGGGCGGCATTGGCGGGCGGGCGGCTGACGAGGGAGCTCTTCCCCTGAGCGCTCTGCTCAGCTCCCTCGCGCGCCGCCAGCAGAGTGATGCCGGGAGCCGGAAGATGACGTCAAATCCCGGCTCCCAGCCTCACTCTGCGGCGAGCGAGGGAGCTGAGCAGTCAGCTCACAGGAAGAGCTCCCTCGCCGGCCGCCCGCCTGCCAATGCCGCCCACCCAGCAGCCACTGGACCACCAGGGAGATAGAGAACCCCTTCCCTCCCCAGCACTCCCAAAGGTAAGGAGGCTGGAGGAGGGGGGGGGGGGTTTAAAAAGTACATGTGTTAATGTGAGTGTGTGTTAGTGTGTGTGTCTGTTAGAGTGTGTGTCTGTTAGTGTGTGTGTGTGTGTGTGTGTCTGTTAGTGAGTGTGTGTGTCTGTTAGTGAGTGTGTGTTATTGTGTGTGTCTGTTAGTGTGTGTGTGTGTCTGTTAGTGTGTGTGTGTCTGTTAGTGTGTGTGTCTGTTAGTGTGTGTGTCTGTTAGTGAGTGTGTGTGTGTGTCTGTGTGAGTGTGTGTTAGTGTGTGTGTGTGTCTGTTAGTGTGTGTGTTCTGTTAGTGAGTGTGTGTTAGTGTGTGTGTGTGTGTCTGTTAGTGAGTGTGTGTCTGTTAGTGTGTGTGTGTCTGTTAGTGTGTGTGTGTGTCTGGTTAGTGTGTGAGTGAGTGTGTCTGTGAGTGTGTGTGTCTGTGAGTGAGTGTGTGTGTGTGTATTTAGAAGGCGGGGGGAAGGGATGGGAGGGGTCACACGCGCGGGGGGGAAGGGATGGGTGGGGGTCGCGCGCGCAAGGGGCGGTTGGGGGGCGCCTTAGTTTTGTCCTGCCTAGGGCAGCACAAAACCAGGATACACCACTGCCGAAGACCCACCGAAGGGCAGGCTATTTTAGCTGCTTTCCGTCCTCAGAATACTCTTGCGACCCCTTTTTTGCTCTCTATTGATTATTATTGTCGGTTACAAATTTCAGATGCCTTTTCCTTATCAATAAAACAACCAGTATTGGCTTTCCTTCCACCTGCTGTCCGTGTCATATTGATTCTTCTGGGGTGGTTTTTGGGGGTTGGAGATGTGTGGAGGGCAGGGGATGTTTTAATCTACATAGTTACATAGTTACATAGCTGAAAAGAGACTTGCGCCCATCAAGTTAAGCCTTCCTCACATTTGTTTTTTGCGGTTGATCCAAAAGAAGGCAAAAAAAAAAACAGTTTGAAGCACAATTTTGCAACAAGCTAGGAAAAAAATTCCTTCTTGACCCCAGAATAGCAGTCAGATTTATCCTTGGATCAAGCAGTTATTACCCTACATTGAAAGATTATATCCTTCAATATTCTGTTTTTGCAAGTATGCATCTAGTAGCTGTTTGAACATCTGTATGGACTCTGATAAAACCACTTCTTCAGGCAGAGAATTCCACATCCTGATTGTTCTTACAGTAAAAAAACATTTCCTTTGCCTTAGACAAAATCTTCTTTCTTCCAGTCTAAACGCATGGCCTTGTGTCCTATGTAAAGTCTGGTTTGTGAATAGATTTCCAAACAATGGTTTGTATTGGTCCCGAATATATTTGTATAATGTTATCATATCCCCTCTCAGGCAACGTTTTTCTAAACTAAATAGGTTTAAATTTGTTAACCTTTCTTCATAGCTGATATGTTCCATTCCTTTTATTAATTTTGTAGCCCGCCTCTGCACTTTTTCTAGTGCCATAATATCCTTCTTTAGAACAGGTGCCCAAAATTGCACAGCATATTCAATATGGGGTCTTACCAGTGATTTATAAAGAGGCAAAATGATATTCTCGTCCCGAGAATGAATGCCCTTTTTCATGCATGACAATACCTTACTGGCCTTGGCCACTGCTGATTGACATTGCACATTGTTGCATAGTTTGTTGTCTATAACAATTCCCAAGTCCTTTTCATGTGTTGTTATCCCTAATTCGCTTCCATTAAGGGTATACGTTGCTTGTGTATTCTTTACGCCGAAGTGCATAACTTTGCATTTTTCAACATTAAATTTCATCTGCCATTTGAGTGCCCAGTCCCCCAGTCTATCTAAATCCCTCTGCAGCAAAGTAATATCTTGCTCACATTGTATTGTTTTTCAAAGTTTTGTGTCATCTGCAAACACTGAAACATGACTTTCAATGCTGTCTTCAAGATCATTTTATAAACATGTTAAATAGAAGGGGTCCCAGAACAGACCCCTGAGGGACACCACTTGCCACCTCTGTCCAGCTTGAAAATTTACCATTAATGACAACTCTTTGTACTCTGTTTTTAAGCCAATGTTCTACCCAAGAACAAGCATTTTCATCTAGACCGATTTCCTTGAGTTTGAACACTAATCTATTGTGTGGAACTGTATCAAATGCCTTGGCAAAATCCAAATAGATCACAACCACTGCAACACCCTGATCTATACTTCTACTTACTTCTTCGTAGAACGCAATCAAGTTAGTTTGACATGACCTGTGCTTCATAAAACCGTGCTGATTTTTGCTGATAATCATGTTCTTCTCAAGGAATTCTTGAATATTATCCCGTAATAACCTTTCAAATATTTTACCAGCAACAGAAGTTAAGCTCACAGGTCTATAATTTCCAGGCAAGGATTTTGAACCCTTTTTGAATATAGGAACCACATCTGCCTTCCTCCAATCCTCCGGAACACTTCCTGAAAGAAAAGAATCTTGAAAGATTAAAAACAGAGGTTCACTTATTTCTACACTTAGTTCCTTAAGTACACGTGGATGGATACCGCCAGGCCCTGGAGCTTTGTTTATATTAACTTTCTTTAGTTGCTGCAGCACCTTGTCTTGAGTTAACCAATTACAATTATTCTGCAAGTTTTTAGTAGCAATCATTTGCACATCTATTGCCATGGGTTCTTCCTAAATATATGCGGAGGAGAACTAGTTATTTAAAATTCCTGCCTTTTCCTGGTCTTCATTAACTAACACCCCCTTTTCAGTTTTTAGTGTACCTACACTTTCATTTTTGGGTTTTTTAAATTAATGTACTTAAAAAATGCTTTGGGGTTCGTTTTGCTCTCTTTAGCTATCATTTTTTCATTTTGAAGTTTAGCAAGTCTAATTGCCTTTTTACACGCAAGTTTTACAAGTTATTTAGCTACATGTAAGGACAATAGGAGGTCTACCACTTATGGTATATACAGTATGTGCTTATTTACTGACGGAATTTCTAGTTATCCCTTGTGGGGTAGTGGAGTCCACCAAACTGACAGTGTTTGACACTAATGCTTTACAACACAGTGAGTAAGATTTATAATACTATAAAATATTATATGAGCCGTATTCTGAAAGATGTAAAATGGAAGAAATTACCAATGTAATATGCCGACTGGCTCCCCCAGTTTAAATGGTGATTGCCCTACTATTAGTACATTGTATTTTTAATTTTTTTTTAGAAAACAAATCTTTGATAAACCTTTCTCCTAACTGTGGCCTATATTGCCGGCTCTGATGTAAGACACAACATGTCTTTTTGGCTCCAAGTCTTTCCTTGAAAGTTCCCTCAAGGAGAGGAGAAATAAGGTGAGGTTGAGGGGAGGTCACAGGATTATAAAATTGTACAGCTCCTCATGATTTCTCATAAAGCCCTGGTTTTAGGTCTAATTTAATTAAACCTTCTGCCACTTACCTCACCTCAACACCAAGATCTCATTACAGAGGTAGGTGTTACATTTCTGTAAAACCCACCTCCAATCCGCCCTCGCTCTTTCTGCTCTTGTCACTGATTTGACCTGCTTTGGGATGCTTCCCCAAGCATAGTAGACTTCTTCTATGACTCGATATCTTATCCATCAAAATATTGCAGTCTTGTCTGAACAGGGAGCTACCAAAGCAACCACTGAATATGTGTTGTGGTTGCTATGGGTGGAGAGCAGAAGGATCGCCTGTTGGAACACTCTTCTGCTCTCATTTACCAATCAATTTCTTGGTATAGAGTCTATGATGAAGAATTGATTGACAGTTGGAAGAAAAAAAACTAAATTTCTTCCCCCTAATCTATACATTTGCTAGAGAAGTTATCATGCTCTTTAAAAAGAGCTAGAGTAGTTTTGGTCATGACAGAAGTCTTTTAAAATGTAGTGTCTTCCAGCACATTTACCAAGCTGCAGAGCATTAGGCGTTGTAAATTGATGGAATATTTTTGGTTATTATTATTATTGCCATTTATATAGCACCAACAGATTCCGTAGCGCTTATATTCGGGAATTATACAATAAATGCCCTAGAGCAGGCGTAGGCAACCTTTGGCACTCCAGATGTTTTGGACTACACCTCACATGATGCTCCAGATGTCCACAACATCTGGAGTGCCGAAGGTTGCCTATCCCTGCCCTAGAGCTAACGTTTTCTGATTTTTTTCCTAAAGAATAGCAAAATGCATTGAATAATTTTAGATAAATATGAATGCTACTTGACCTAGTTTTGGTAAAAAAAAGAAAAAAAAAAGGAAAGCAGAAAATATATGTGTAATCACTATAAATCAGTGCAAAATCACAGCATGAGAGAAATGTATTCCAAGTGCGTATCACGGTTTATCTGGGGGCAACTCATGTTTGTCTTCCCAAATACATTACATGACAGGCAATAGCTCTTTCCCCAGAGTTTCAGTTTTCTCTTTGCAATTTGGTTTCAATTTACCACAAGTCACTGTGAATTAACACAAAAACACCAAAGGGTTATTTATTCACTAAATTGTGAGTCGTTTGGGAAGTCAAACTGAATTTAAAAGCATGAAACCAAAATAGCTGAATTGAAACCACATGTGACTAGGTCTATTGTAGCTTAAACTTTTAAATTCCTGACAATTCAAACTTTAACCCCTTAAGGACTGGACTGTTTTTGCGATGTTGTACCTTTGCGACCAGGCCTCTTTTTACACTTTTGTGTCATTTGTGTTTAGCTGTAATTTTCCGCTCTCTCATTTACTGTTCCCATACAAATTATATATTGTTTTTTTCAGGACAAAAAGGGCTTTCTTTACATACCATTATTTATATAATCTCATTTAATTTAATTTAAAAAAAATAAAAAAATTATGAAAAATTTAAAAAAATACATGTTTTTTGACGTCTACTTGAAAAATCTTTTACTCATCTACAAAAGCTAATGAAAAAACTGCTAAATAGATTCAAAATTTTGCCCTGAGTTTAAAAATACCCAGTGTTTACATGCTTTTTTGCTTTTTTTGCAAGTTATAGGGCTATAAGTACAAGTAGGAAATTGCAGTTTCAAAACATACATTTTTAAAATTTATCAATAGTGACATTGTAACACTATTATCTGTCATAAATCTCTGAATCACACCCCACATGTACATATTTTTTTAAAGTAGACAACCCAGGGTATTCAATATGGGGTATGTCCAGTCTTTTTTAGTAGCCACTTAGTCACAAACACTAGCCAAAGTTAGCGTTCATATTTGTTTGAGTGTGAAAAAAAGTAAAAAAACTAAATTAAACGCTAATTTTGGCCAGTGTTTGTGACTAAGTGGCTACTAAAAAAGACTGGACATACCCCATTTGCAATGAGCTCTCTGCTCAGCTCCCTCGTGCGCCACAGAGAGATGCCGGGAGCCGGGATATGACGTCATAGTCCGGCTCCTGGCATCACTCTGCGGCGCACGAGGAAGCTGAGCAGAGAGCTCACTAATCAGTGCTCCCTCACCAGCGTCGCCCGCCCGACTGGATTTTTAGTTAGCCGCCAGGCTAACAAGACATTTGCCTGGGCATTTGCGGGCCTTTTTTTTTTTTGCCGTTCCCTGGAAAATACCGCCCAAGGCAAATGCCTTGTTTGCCTCGCGGCTAATACGTACCTGATCATGGAGTTAATTCTCATTCCTAGGCTGCCATACGCTCTCAAAGGCAACGTAACCAAACTGGCAATTTTCAATGTAAAAATATTTGACCCATACACACATATATAATTATATTTTTTTATTAACATTAACCTTTATTTTTTATTTTTTTATTTTACACTAGCAGGGAGACTGCCTGTCAGCACAGGCAGTCCCCCTGCAAGCAGACACTAGGGGGTCTTAGGACTAGGGGTCCTAATTCGCCATGAGGAGACTGTCTGGGCTGCAGGCGGGAGCACCGCCGATTGCCGCGGGGGGAACGACGGCGATCGGGTAAGTACATATTACCGTTGTGACGGTTCAGGACCGTCAGTTGTCGGCAACGCTAAAATGCCGATGACGGTCCTGAACCGTCCTCGGTTGTTAAGGGGTTAAAGGAACACAAACATGTATTCCTCACCCTATAGTGTTAAAACACCAACTAGCCCCCCATGCTGTTAGGGCCACCCGATGGAAATGAATAACATCATCAGAGTGGGCCCGGTAACAGCTCGACCGGGCCACTCTGATGATGTCAGACGTTGGGAGGAAGTGACTGCGCTGGTCACTTCTCCCAGCAACCACCAGGAGCCGCACGGGAGGAAGGAGAGAGAGTCAGAGTGAACCACTGGACCCCAGGCATTTGTGTCTTATTGTATGTGTGTGTATGTATGTGTGTCTGTGTGTGTGTTTATGTATGTGTCTGTATGTATCTGTGTGTATGTGTCTGTGTCCTTGTGTGTTTATGTGTATATGTGTCTGTGTGTCTGTCTGTCTGTGTGTCCATGTATGTGTCTGTGTGTGTGTATGTGTGCCTGTATGTGTCTGTATGTATATTTTATCTGTCTGTGTATGTGTCTGTATCTGTGTGTGTGTCTGTGTGTGTCTATGTATGTGTCTGTATGTATCTGTGTGTCTGTGTGTGTCTGTGTGTGTGTGTCTGTCTGTATGTATGTATGTATGTGTGTCTGTCTGTGTATGTGTCTGTATGTATCTGTGTGTATGTGTGTGTGTCTGTGTGTGTGTCTATCTTTGTGACTGTCTGTATCTATGTATGTGTGTGTGTCTGTCTGTATGTATGTGTCTCTGTATGTATGTGTGTCTGTAAGTATGTATGTGCTTCTGTATGGGGTTGCGGTGGCGGTGGTGGTGGCCATGGATCAGTTTTGCACCTGGGCCCCATGGATTGTGTGTACGCCACTGATTGTTAGTGCTCTTAACAACACTGTATCCACTTGGCACTGGATGAAAGTAACAATGCTGTTGTATTCATTGTTATATTTTATAGCACTTTACTTTTAATCACCTACCAACTTTACTAAGTGCTCTCACAGTACTGATCCCCTGCTGCTCCCTGGTTGAGACCTGCTTTGTAATATTAATGTTTTACTGATTTTCCTTTTAACATATTGCTCTGTCCCATCACCTTATTCACACATTCCTTCGTCGAACGATCGGTGTATGCAACCACTTCAGATTTCCAAGTCTTTATGAACAAAATAGCAGAAAAGCAAATGAATGTTCAAATGAATGCATGACTGCACAAGTTACTATCTATGTGTAGTTTATAACACCTGGGTTAGCACAATGTACAGATGGGATGTTATTCCCTTTCAATAGACACGCAAAGTCATGTTGGTCACGACAATTACACTTTTCTTTACAAGGTCAATGTAATCTCCGTAATAAGAGTATGGCTGTTATCACCATCCTATGTGATCAGTGGAATTGCTGCTTATTATAAACTACTCATCCCATAATCCTCTACTGAAGAGGGGTTTATGGGATAAAAGCAGACCAAAATGAGATGCTCCCGTTGGTGATGGATTTATCTGTATAATGTCTTAAAAAGTATATATTTCTTTTAACCCCTTAAGGACACATGACATGTGTGACATGTCATGATTCCCTTTTATTCCAGAAGTTTGGTCCTTAAGGGGTTAAAGGATCGCTAAAAGTACCCAGGCCACTTCATCTCAATGGCATTTTAACCTTTCAATGTAAAACATTGCCCTTTTGTAGAAACAACAAAGCTTGCATTGAAGGGTTAACTATACCTCTAGTGCAGGCCTGCACTACCTGTATCCCCCAGAACTACAATGCCCATGATTATTTGAATGAAAGAGATAGCCAGGGAATCATGGGAGTTGTAGTTCGAAACATCTGGTGTGCGGAGGTTAGCTGTCAATATTCTTGAACACGCACTCATTTATTCTCACACTTTCTCTGTTTCTTTCTTCTGTTTTTATCACCTTCTTCCTCCCCCCCACCCCTTGCTCCCCCTCCCTCCACTCTCTGGTTAATAGATTAAGCACAATATGTTCCCTAATAACTAACTAACAATTAAACAGTTCTATCATTCTCAAAGTCAACCCTGGATAGATATCACTGCTCAGTCCACTGGCCGGTTTGGAAGATAATTGGTGGTGAGAAAGACACATTAGTGGGGAAAAAACAGATCACAGAATTCACTATTGAGAAATAATACAATAAATAGTTTGCAGCTAGAGGGTCACATTACGTCTAAAGCAATTCACACAGGGTTATTTACTTAAGGGAGAATTCAAAGTGAAAGTCAAATTTAAGGCCCAGAGTAGTTGAACTGAATTAACTAATTTAGACAATTTCCCCAGTTCAGCGACTTTTAACGTCAATTTCAAATTCACTTTGAATTCACCTCTAATTCTCACCTTAGTGAATAACCCTGACAACGTGTGATTGTGTCTAGTTGTGTGAATATATATTACATGAAAGAAAAATAAAAAGGGTTTATTCACTAAAGGGAGAATTCAAAGCCAATTTCAAATTTAAGGTCAAAATTTGTGAACTGGAAAAATTCTCAATCTTAGTGATCCTTTAACTCAGCTACTCTGGCCTTAAATTTGAAATATTATTTTAAATTCTCACTCTAATAAAAACCCTGCAAGAGAATCTACATTCAGTCAGTCAGTCACTATGTATCAGGCAGGCAGGATCACTGTTCAGTCGTGACACGTCCATACGCCTCCTGTCAGAGTGGGTTAATATTACAGTAAAATGACACCTACCCAGGAGACACCATTGTTCATTGAGTGGTCTATTTGTAGCAATTCTGCTCCTTGTTCACTACACCGCTTTGTTGGTGGGGTTAGTGTGCCTTCCTCGCCCTAGCAACTTATTATATACCTCATTATGTCCTCCTTCTCCCCTCCCTCATCATAAAAATATGTCCCCTCGGGGTCTATGTGTCTTAGGAATGTGAGCGTCAGCGATGCATTGCGGAGTCTTAAGGAACAGATGGGATGAAATAAACACGGTCCGACATCAGGTGTAATGGATACATCAGTAGAGTACATGACAAAAGAACAAAAATGATGTGGTATTGACAATAGAGTGAATGCTTCATTGGAGAAAGGATGACCCGTATCATTATATTAATTTATTTATATCTCTATTTGCAGCTAGTGGTAAGGTGTGAAGTAACTGAGGAGTTAATTATAGCTGCAGGTGCATGCTATAAAGTAAGATAGAGCTAGGATAGGTGGGAGTTTAGTGGTTACTAGTGAAAATAAAGTTAGATTTTGGATGGTTAGGTAGGTGAAAGGACTCTTAAAGGGATGCTATAGTGACAGGAATATAAAGATGTAGTCCTGGCACTATCACTCCCACCGTTTCCCCAGTCCCTTCTCCCTCCAAGGTGAATAAAGGGTTAAAAAAAAAACTTTATTAACTTACCTGAGACCTGAATTTGCAATGTTTCGGCCTTCACAGAGGCCTTTGTGACTTGACAAAGCCCTATGTGAAGGCCGCAACGTTGTGAATTCAGGTCTCAATAAATCTGCCTCTTTGAAGATACATTGAGTGCCTGGACCTACTACTAGCATCAAGTACTTTTGTTATGTGTACAAAAAACTATTTGCAGCATGAATGTGCCATCTGGGGCTTTGCACTCGCAATGTACAATAATTAATCAGTACAAATCCATGTTTTAATAAATATTAAATTGTACGCACAATATAGATAAATCATTGGAATGTTATACAATAGTGGTTCCAAAACCAGTCCTCATGGCCCACCAACAGTCCAGGATTTATGTATTTCCCTGTTTTATTCCAATGGAGATACTATCAAAACCTGGACTGTTGGTGGATTTTGAGTTTGGAAAACCCTGTGTTACAAAATGATACTCATGAGTTAATAGATTGTGTGCTCGATTTAAAACAAATACACATCTGTGGCATCTCCTGGACTCTGTAAGATAGCTCTCCTCAGTACAGGGATCTTTTTGGGGTTATGCCTTTTGGAGAATATAGTGATACAATTCTGACTTGTTGATTTGACTTGGCCTGTTAACTAGAGATGTGAATGGAAAGAATTCTAGTTCTTTTCAGTCCATTCTGATAATTTTCAGTTTGCGATTCATCCAAACATTTGTTCTAATATTAATTAAATTCGTCCAAAATTCAATAAAACGTTTTGTGTTTCTTTAAAGAATTTCGGATGGCCATTGAGCTCTATGGAAATAAATTAGTCGTATAGGAGATGGTCAGAACAAATCCTAAAGGGGAGTATGGATTTACTCAGAAGAACAGTAGTTATTTCATAAATGAATATATGACTCAGGACCATTAGCTCATCCGAGCTGTGACGGAACGCTGGCACTACGACTGAGTACCTCCGCCAATTGATGCGCCTAGTGCTCGCTGAGGATTCCAAGCACTCCAACCGACACCATCAGCACTGCAGACCCCACTTTCAGCGATACAGCTGCGCCGGGTCTCGCCGTCTCCACCCACCCTGGATCCACGACCAGGATCCAGCTCCCAGTGGGTGAACCTCTCCTAAATCCAGAGAGTGTAGCAGGAACAAATCAAGCTATTGCAAGAGTTTACTCTAGGGATTAAGAGATTATAGCAATCCCCAGAGTGTAGTTTTCCAATCCCCCAAACATGAGCCAAAGCTTAATGCTGGAACAAGACTTTACTGGAAGTAATAACAACAGGTATTCAAGCTACAGTTTCTTTTATGCCCTGCTCCCATGCAGGGAAGGGACACACACGTTATCTACAGTAGCCAATAAAACAGAGGTTACAGCACACACAAAATCCTCCCCTCTGCCTGTGATTCAATTATCTTATACAATAGAAGATGCAATTATCACAGGTAGGAAAAATACAGTTTTTACAGCATATTCATAACTTCTAAAATATACATCACATTCACATAAAAATTATATATTTACAATCAATCCATTCAGGAAAACAACATATCAAAAAATGGCATGAATCAGACCAGGGGTTCAGAAGTTAGTAAAGTATCTTTTGGGGCCTGGCTGGCAGCATGGCTATCTGTCCGAAACCGGTTTTACAGAGCCCTCTATCCTGGAGACAATGGGGGAAATAATCCAATTATCCAGGGATAGAGGCAGACTCCATTGAGCACATGTTCCCAGAAAAACACAAAAGGATACAAAAATACATAACTCCTATCATACTGAATTGAACGGGTCAAATCTCCCAGGGTCCATAGTCACAGGGCTAGAGGCGGGCAAGCAGTCCTCTCCAGGCACAAGTGGCGAAGGGCACTTCGTCACAGTAATAAATCCATGAATAAAGTAGCAGGGAGGGAAAGTATCGAATGAATGGAGGGGGATTCTTCACACAGGCATTTGTTAATATTTAGACCAATATTTGTTTTTGGATGAAATTAACTAAATGGAATTAATTTTTTGATTGTTCAAAAAATAATGCACATGTCTTTTTACCTGTTAATTCTGATTTATCTGCTCCTGGCACATAAAATGTTTTGTTTATCTTCTGTCTGTTGTCTGGAGCGACCCTTTTGGTTAATTTATACGCTAACAGCTATGGTGTCCTCATTACTGCTTGCTATCTTACCAGATTAGTTATCTGCTGTGAGATGAAAGTGTCTGCTCTTTTATTAAGCCCTACTACCTCTTACCAGGACAACTCAGACTCCAAACGCACTTCAAATTGCCCAAGTGTTTGTGTGAAGAGTGTGTTCTCTTTTTCATTTTTTTTTTTAAATTCTTTATTTTGTCTTGCATGGGAATAACAAGAGGCATGCAATGCCACAACAGATATTGCTAGCCTGTCAATCAGCTTTATCTTACTAGGAGACCCCCTCTGGGGCAGTCTCGGACTCTCTAAGGATAAGGGCATAAAAATGCATGTTGATCAGCAGGATTGCACGTTGTGAAAAACAAATTACAAAGACAGAAAAACAAACAAACAAAAAAAAACAATAATTATAAGGTAACATCGGTATAGAAAAAGGTATAGCTACGTTGCTTTCTGCTAAAATGGAGACACAGTATGCTGCAAGTCATAGGCCATGAGAGCCCTACAGTGCCTCCTCATTCAGCCTATGCCTTCAAGACTCACAGCCCAGACCTGTAACACGCCGAGGGACTCAGCCATCCCATCCCAGTCCTGAGAGCCCCGATGTTGGGCTTATCTGCTTGAGTCCTGTCGGCTATGTGACAGTGTTGTTCGGGTCCAGTGTGGGTAGGATGCAGGCTCTTCATGAATCTTGGGTTGAGCTGTGACTTGGAGCTGGGCATGGATGGAACTGGCTGTGTCTTGCGTGGGATGGCAGCCATAACCTGGTGCAGTCGTGCGGGTTTACTTGCTGGCAGGAAGTAGTGCCTTCTGCGGTGCCATTTTCTGTTCAAGATTTCAGCCGTCGGGCAGCAAGTAAACCCCCACCTCCTGGACAGCTCACTAAGAATGCAGCTTCACAATGAATGTAAAATGGATGCTGTCCAGGAGGTGGGAGGATCTGGGAGGGAGGGTCTGCTGCTGATTGGCTGGAATGTGTCTGCTGACTGTGAGGTACAGGGTCAAAGTTTACTCAATGATGACATAGGGGGCGGACCGAACAGCACATATGTTCGCCATCCGCGGAGAACTGTTCGGAGAACCGTTCGGGACATCACTAATTATATATATAAAATATTTTACTCTTAAATATTATATATATTAGATGTTTTACTCTGAAAGGACCAATATTTTATATTTCTTTTTCTAATAAAAAAATAGTGGTCCTTTCAGAGTGAAACATTTAATTATACAATAACCATACTCAAATGCAGACACAGACAATCTCACTGACACACACAATTGATACAAAGCCTGATAGACAAACAATCTCACTGATATACATAAACTCATTGACATAAATACACAAGCTCACAGATGGACACAAATAGGCTCACTGACAGGTAATCTCACTGACACACAAAGACAAGCTATACACACAAACATAGTACAGACAAACTCTGACACACAAGCTTCTGACATACTTGAAAAGGAGAGAAATCTCAATGTATCTTTCATGGTAAAATATTTTATAATTAAATAAATACAGACAAGCTCACTGTCACACACATACACACACACACAAACATGCTCACTGATGCACAAATGCTCACTACGGATAAGTTCACTGACACACACATGCTCACAACAGACAAGCTCACTGACACACACATACAAGCTCACTCACTATCAGCCACACACACACACAAGCTCACTCACCAGCAGGCACACACACACACACACACACACACACAAGCTCTCTCACTAGCAGTCACACACACTCACAATCTCTTTCACTAGCAGGCATACACACACACACAAGCTCTCTCACTAGCAGGCACACACACACAAGCTCTCTCACTAGCAGGCACATACACACACACACACACACACACAAGCTCTCTCACTAGCAGGCACACACACACACACACACACAAGCTCTCTCACTAGCAGCAGGTACACACACACACATACACACACACAAGCTCTCTCACTAGCAGGCACACACACACACACACACACACACACAAGCTCACTCACTAGCAGGCACACCCACACAATCACTGTCATGGCTGTAGCTTACCTGACACTGGTAGGTAAGTTACCATTTTGTAGCCTCTTCCTTCCAACGAGGTCACCAACGTGTAGGAGGGCAGGGCTAGTGTGCGGGAGGCGGAGCTATTTTCAGTAGGTGGGCTTGCGTGCGGAGGCGGGGCATGCGGCTGAAATTGCTGTAAATTGTGCTGGGTGACTGACAGGTCTCCCTCGTGCCGCCAGCAGCCTAATTGCGGCCGCACCGGCCCCC